ACCTGCAGCTCCTGCCGCATCTCCTGCCATGTCTCTGGCATTGCAGACAGATTCTTTACTGTTGAGCCACCGGGGAAGTGCTGGAATCAAGATTGCCAGGAGAAATATCAACAACCTCAGACATGCAGGTGATACCATGCTAATGGAAAAAAGTGAAGAGGAACTAAAGAGTCTCTTGATGAAAGAGGAGAGTGAAAAAACTGACTTGAAACATAACATTAAAAAAACTAAGGTCATGGCATCTAGTCCCATCACTTCATGGCAAATAGAAGGGGAAAAAGTGAAAGCAGTGACAGATTTTATTTCCTTGGGCTCCAAAATCACTGCAGACAGTGACTGTAGCCATGATACTAAAAGACACTTGCTCATTGTAAGGAAAGCTATGACAAACCTAGACAGCATATTAAAAAGCAGAGACATCACTTTTCCAACAAAGTCCATATGGTCAAAGCTATGGTTTTTCCCCTAGTCATGTATGGATGTGAGTGCTGGTCCGTTAAGAAGGCTGAGCACCTAAGAATTGATGCTTTTGTTTTGTGGTGCTGGAGAAGACTCTTGAGAGTCCCTTGGACAGAAAGGAGATCAAACCGTCATTCCTAAAGGAAATCAACCGTGAATATTCATTGGAAGGACTGAAACTGAAGCTGAAGCTCCAGTATTTTGGCCACCTGATGCAAAGAGCTGATTCATTGGAAAAGACCCTGATGCTGGGAAAGATTGAAGGCAAAAGGAGAAGAGGGCGGCAGAGGATAAGATGATTAGATAGCATCACTGACTCAATGGAAATGAATTTGAGTAAATTCCGGGAGATAGTGGAAGACAGAGGAGCCCAGCATCCATGGAGTAACGAAGAGCCGGACAGACATGACTTAGCAACTGAACAACAAGGAGAAGTGAAGGTCATTCTGAGGAAAATCATAAGGCAAAATTCCAGAAGGTATGATAGAGTATATAAACGGCATATAGAGTCTCTTATAGGACTATGGGTAGTAGTAGATCTTAAAAGACACCAGGAGTGAAGGCAAGACTGGGAATAGAAAGGAAGTGATTTGGATGTCTTCTAGAAGCTGACAGCCACTTCTGTCACTGTTACTGGAGTCACCATTTCAGCTGCTTTTGTACTTTACCTCCTTCACTGTTAATGCTTTTAAATCAACGGGATCACTCTGATGTCTATACAAAGAGTTTGGTGTGTGGCGTGTCAGTCTTCTTAAACTACAGTTTTGAATGTAGCTGACCCAGTGACAAAGCAGTTGCTTTATTTTGTCATTAGAAGATACTCCTGTGCCAATAATAAAACCTTTTTTATCTTTTGCTAAATAGAGAGTTATTTTATTTTATTTTATTTTAATATTTATTTATTTGGGCTGCATCAGATCTTAGTTGTGGCACACAGACTTATTTCTAGTTGTGGCCCTTGGGCTCCAAGGTGCGTGGGTCAGTAGTTGGAGTGCACAGGCTTATTTGCCCCAGGGCATGTGGGATCTTGGTTCCCAAGTTCCCTGACCAGAGATTGAACCTGTGTCTCCTGCATTGGAAAATGGATTCTTAACCACTGGACCACCCAGGGACATCCCCAAGAACTGATTTTAACTTATGTAATTTGGGGGAGTCAAGTTTACTTTCCTTTGGGTAAATCTGAAATTACTGAAGCAAATTCTGGAGATATTTTTAATATTGTTAATTTGATCAAGTTAGTCTTAGTTTCTTAACTTACCTTAGTATGTGCTCAGTTGCTCAGTCCTGTCTAACTGATCCCATGGACATAGCCTGTCAGGCTCCTCTGTCCATAGAATTTCCCAGGCAAGAATACTGGAGTGGGTTGCCATTTCCTTCTCCAACCTTAGTATAGACATTACTTTAATTAGTACACTTTTAAAAACTTCTAATTTAGAAAAGTTTAAGAGTAGATTTGAATCTGATACAGTCTTAGCTTATTAAACAAGTTAGATTTAGGTCATTCTTCTAAACAATTCCCAAGGTTAGAAAAAAATTGTTATTTATGTATGAAGAAATTTTCATTTTGAATATTTTAGAATCATTTGGAAGAGTATGGTTCACTTTGAACTATTAAATCCAGCAGGCTAGGAACCTATGTTTTAGAGAAGGGATTTTCCAGACTGCAAATTTAATTTAATATTTCTAACTAAATAGAACATCCAGAATGACTCTTAAGTATGCCGCTTACCCTGTCTTTCACAACACTTAGGAAGAAAAAGATGTTCTCTGCTATGGTTCTGGTCTCATCTTTTAATAACTTCCAAGAATTTTGAAGTCTGTTTTCTTCTCATTTCCCCTGTCCTTAACCTCATTAATGTTATCTAAAGATCTTTTAAGTTCTCTTTATCTTCCTAGAAAATTTCAATACATGACTCATGAAATTTCTCCCTACTTTTTCTCTTTTATCGTTTTGAAGCTTTTTCAACATCCATACAAATAATCCTTATAACATATATGCTAGAGTGTTTCTTAACTTACCTAATCTTAATGTCTTTTATCTCCATTTCTTCTAAGCTTACAGTAGGGATTGCCATATACCAGAATTCATGATAATTTGGAAGTACTCCAGCTTAAAGTTTTTGAACTCTGAAATTTCCCTTTCAGATTGTAATTTCAGTTGAGACCACTATCTTCCATTCATTTATTTGGCAAGTATTTATTGAATGCCTATTATATACTGAACTTTGTGGTCCTCCCTTTTAACAATTTACATGTGCTCTTCCTTTATTTTTGCTTCTAGTTCTTTGATATTCTGCCTACTTATTATTGTATTACTACCCTGACTCTAACCTCATTTGCTTTTCTGACTATAACAAGCTTCATGGTTGGTCATTTCAATTGCACTTTAATTCTGAACCTTCAATTCTGACTTCTTTTTCTTAGGCTCTTTTACTATTTCCTCTGACCTTATTCATTATTATTATATTTTACAATCAATGTGCATTGATATTTCCCTAAATATTTATATTTTCTGCTGTTCTCTGTTCCATCCTGCTTTTGTCCAGGGCCTCCCTTTAATTAATTTATTGTATTTATTTAGTGCATGTCTGCTGGTGATGAATTCTGGTTTTGTTTATTGACTTATGACATCTTTATTTTCATTTTAGAAGGGTACTTTTTCCTAGATATAGAATTACAGGTTAGCAGTTATTTCACTTGGCACTTTAAAGACTCTAGGCCAGAGTGTGTATCTGGCCCACCTCTGCTCTTAGAATGTTTTGAGAGCCTGTGGTGTTTACAGGGACTTCCCCACTGGCAGGTCCTGAACTATAATCCCTGTCTTCTCAGCACTGAGAAATGCCCCCAGACTCTAATTATAGGTACTTATAAGGACTTTAGCTGCTGTACTTGTGAGATGGGAAGTCACTGGAGAGTTTGAATGGAGGAGTGATACACAAAAGAATTTCTCTGTTTGCTGTGGTCAGAAAAGACCATAAGGAAGCAAAGCAGAACCTGAGAGGACCAGTTAGGAGGCTATGCAAAAAAGTAAGTAAGAGATGAAGGTGGCCTGTAATTTTTTGTCTGGCTATTAAAATTTTTAACTTCCAAGCTGCCTTAATTTTTGATCTACTCAAGCCTTTTCATCCATATGATATCACAGTGATTTGTTTCTATAATTCGTACCTAATAATGTCATTCCTCAGAGATTCCTCATTTTGTATCTTCAGGTGAAAATTCAAAGTACCAAGAGATAACAGATCATATCCATGCTCTGGAGCCTATCTCCCTTTATAGCATCCTCTCTTATTCTACCTCTTTTGTTTGTTGTGGTTCATTCACTAAGTCATGTCCAACTCTTTGTGACCCCATGGACTGTAGCACACCAGGCTTCCCTGACCTTCACTGACTCTCGCAGTGTGTTCAAACTCATGTCCATTGAGTCGGTGATGTCATCCAACCATCTCATCCTCTCTTGCCCCCTTCTCCTCTTTCCTTTAGCCAGTTATCTACTTGAAGCCTAGATTCTCTCCATAGGTTATAAAACTTACTCAGATCTCCATGCCTTGGGCCATGTTTTTCTTCTTCTAGAATTATCCATCATCAACTCCCTTCTCTTGTCTGACTTACTCCAACTCATCTTAAAGATTCATATTAAACATTAAGGAAGAAGCTTATTTTTCTTTTGGAAGGGTTCCTGAACCTTTTCCTTCCCCATTCCAAGACAAAAATGATTAGTCTTTTCTATGGAATCAGTACATTTATAGCGTCCACTCTCTACCAAGAACAGTTTTAGGTGTTGGAGAATCACAGAAAACTAAGCTACAATATTTGCCCTCAAGGACCTTGTTCTAGAAGAGAAGACACATAAATATACAATTGCATTGTAGTGTGATAGGTGTCCTAGTAGAAACTTTGCTCTTGAGAGAAGGATATGAGTGAAGTGTTCCTAGAAGAGGATAAATCCATATCAGTTTTTAAAGAATAATTCAGAGTTTATCAAGCAGAAAAGGTGCATGGGTTAGGGTAAATATATGACTGAAAGAACAATATGTCCAACAGCATTGGACACCAAATGGAGAGTGCATCTCAGTTGGGTGAGGCGGGTAGTCTGTCAGGTCTCTAGAGCTAGAAGACTGATGGCCAGTTTTCAGCCCTGGTGTATTCTTGCCTCTTTTTTCCAAAACAGCATTTCAAACAACTTTGTAAAGTAGCACAAATGTGTTAGAAATGTCATGAACATAGGGGAAAAAGGAGATGCATAACCCAAAATCAATCATAATAACACATAGTAGTAACCTGAGAAAAAAATGGAATATCAAGTCATGTACTCTTATATAAGATCCACTGACTGGTTGACTAATTGCCAACAAAGAAATAGGAAAAGAAAATGAAAAGCAAAGTCTTTGCTTTGTCTTAAGTAGTTTTACACATCCTTTCAAGAAAGAAATTACTTGAGCTAGTTTGCCTTCTCTTACCTTTTGTAAAATGCCCTTGCTGAGGAATCTACTAACCATATGGTTTCTTCCAATATTCTCTCCTTTCTCCCCCTTCTCCCTTAGTATCTTTTTGCCACATACATTGCTCCTTCAGCCACTCTTGACATTGGACTTCAACAGGAAAAGAAAAGAGAGATTTATATGAAAATACAACCACCATTTGAAGACCTTTTTGATGCAGCAGAAGAATATATCCTCCTCCTCCTTCTTGAGCCTTGGACAAAGATGATAAAATCAGACCAAGTTGCTTACAGAAAGGTATGGTGACACTGATCAACTATATTTAAACGATTCAGGTTTACTGCAAAACTGATGATAAGCAACATTGTTAACTTGCAGGAGAGAAAAGCTGAAAAAGGTCTCAGATGGGCCAGGAACTCAGAGTTAAGATTTGGGCAGACACTACTTTGGGGCAGGGAAAGTACTGATTAACTTAGTTTTTCCCCATTTCCCTATTGTCTCCTAACAAAATACGAAAATTGATGTCATTTTTAATTCTGTCTACAAATATGTCAGCAGAGAAAAATCTGAGTTTTGGATTCTCGTGAACCAGTAAAATGTGCCATGAGAGTATACTAGTTTTGTCATTTCTCAGCAACGGCTTTAAATTTTGATTAATGGAATGAGCCTGTGTATTTTTATTCTGGATGAGTTACAGTAAATACTACACCCATGGAAAATGTAAACATCCCATATGTATTGTGGAAAACACATTCTGTGACTTAAAGCACTCTCAGATGTTCATCAGGTCAGACTGCTTGATTTGAGAAAAGTGCCAACACCTTTTTTCATTCCAGAAGAGCTGATTTTAAGTCTAGGTGCTTGAATATTTTCACTATTCTTATTGATGGGTGGAAGAAATTTCTTTAAATGTTTAGTTTGAATCACAAATGAAAGCCATTTGTGGGTATTTTTAATATTAAGTTACTGCATGTACCCTTATCTTATTGAATTAAAATGAATACAACACGATGGCTTATTAAATTCATTGACCAAAATAATGAAATTTTCATTCCTGATTTCTTTTTGTCCTGAAAAATTAACATTCGCATCCTTTCTACCACAGAAATGCATATTTTACACTCGGAATATTGGGATATCATATGAAATTTATGAAAAATTCTCTCCAGTCATTATTTAAATACAGTATATGGTATAGAGGAAAATGAATCTGAGATATGGTCCCATGATGACAAAAGTAATTTAGAATTATAGCTAACTTCCCTAATATCAAGAAGTTTTGGCATTAGCCGTGATTCTTATGAAATGCCTGGGACAAATTATACGCTCTTTTTTTTAAAGGAAAAGTAAATTTCTCTTAATTCTACAAGCTTCTTAAATTCAGCACAAAGGACCTCTCTGAAAGTTTGGCTGACTGGATTATGTGGACCCTTTCCCAAAAAGGATGAGCAAGGAGATTTAACCAACATTAAATATTAAGTACAGGAAGTTCTCAGTCAGCCAAACTGATTCTTGCCGGCAGTAGAGAAATGGAAAATGATCTTGTTCTCCTGACCGTATAAAGCAGTGCGGCACACACACTGAAGACTGAGTCCTACTGTGAGGTTTAATTTCATGATTGGGTAGAGTCCCATCATTTTTTTGTTCTACTGTAGATTATTTGGTCCCCTAAAGCTAGCAGTGCCTATCTTCATGACTGTTATCCCATTATAATGAATAGAAGCTGGGAATGTGATCCACCCGATGTGTTTGCATTGTCTGTTATTTCACACGGGGTATCCAGAAAGGAGGAATGATCTTTGGTGGCATTACATCATTACATAGAAATTGTGCATCTTTTGTTTTATCATGTGCATTTGTAGTCTGACTTTGCTGTAACTAATGTTTTTCACTATTGAGTCTTCCTGCTTTTGCCTCCAAACTAACTTACTTTATTTGGCAAGTGTATTTGTTTTTTAGCCCATTGTTATTGGCAAATTGTGCATTCTTTCCCCCCTTTTTCATAATGCACATTCTTTTGATGTTACAAACTTTATTATTGTTTTATTATAGGTGGAGCTGGTGGAAGAAACGAGACAGCTAGATTCCACATACTTGAGAAAGCTACAAGCTTTGCATAAAGAGACAGTTTTCAAGAAAGCTGAGGTAAGAAACTCTCTACTTAGAAAAACAAACATTTTAACCTGGAGAGGATTATCACTGCATGTATTGGTGGTATGTGGGAATAGGGATCATTTATTGAGGAGATCATGTATGATAAAGTAGGAGGCAGGCAGTTCCATTTTCTGCTGCTGCTTTGCCTAACATGCTGCATATGACAGGTATCACATTTTATTGACACGTTATTTAACAAAAAAGCCAGAAAAAGAAAGCAGATGAAGTCGTGTAGGGAGCCAAGATACTCATTTGCTTTACAGTTGTCAAGCCACGTTATATTCCTTTGGATGTTACTGGTTATTTTCTGTATGGCAGCAACTCTACTTGTTGTCAAGTCACAAAAAGAATTAGCTTGAGTTTTCCAAACAGAAAAGGAAGTGTTGTGTGACAGCAATAAGCAAAACAAGAAGAAAAATATGGAAAGGCTTTAACGGAGTCAATAAAAAGATCATAGGATTGACTGCGATAGTCAGGTGTTATTTTGATGTATAAATTTGCAAATTTGTGATTATCTAAGTAAGCCATGATAGATCCATAAGGCCGTAAGATTAAATGTGTGTACCTACATAAAAATGACAGTTTAGATTCATATTTGTTGACATGGAAAATGCCGAGGACATGTTATTATATAAATATGTGGGGAACAAACACTGGTATGAACAAACACTGCTATTCATATAAAATTATACATGCATTTCTACTTGTATACATATATGCAAAGAGAGCTATCTGGAAAAATGTTCATAAAAATGTTAAAGATAGTTAGCTCTGAGTGATAAGGTTTCAGATGATTTTTTACTTTACTTTATACCTTTACTTTACTTTATACCTATCTGAAATCTTTATCTTTTAAACTTTTACACAGACAGTAAAGTTATTTTTTAAGTGTATTCATGATTTTGCCTTATAAATAAAGAAATTATTTATTTGAAATTCTACTAATTAATATCTGGAAAGGACACATAAAAATTCATAAAGATAGTATATTATAAAGTTATATCTTAAAATTTTTTTAAACTTATGATATTATTCATAATATTCTACCTATCAAAAATTTTTAAATATAGGAGTTTATCTCATGGTCTGATGTTTTTTGAAAACAAGTAGGAAAGTGAATTAATTATTCAGTGAGTTCATAGGAAGGATTTCTAAAGAATAAGCCTCTCTAGCTTTTTGACATGAAGGGCTTATAAACTGTTCATGAAGCATCAGAGGTCTTAAAAATACCTTACAATTGACTGTTCTATGAGGGTGATTACATCTAAAGTATCTTGTATTACTCTATAACTTAAAAAATTTTATAGGTAAAATAATGTTTTATATTCATGATATATTAAGGAAAAGAACCAAGTTACAAAACCACACATAGTTGTATAGTCCTGTTTCCATATTTAATAAATTATGTTATGTATAAAAACAGGACCAAATGGATACACATAAAAATGTTTGTGGTAGTTTTCTCTGAATGGTAGTACCATGTTCGCTTTTTGTCTTCTTTTTATTACAAAAGACATATTACTTCCATACCAACAAAAATAGTAAGGTTAATATTTTATAAGCAAGGGTATACTAAATGTTTACTAATGTTCCTGAAAAGAAGGGAATATATTGGAAAGGATCAGAACAGAATTTGATGTGTTAGGATCACAGTCTAGATTCTTTACCCAGTTCTACTATTGAATTGATAAATGCCATTGGCCTGATAATTAATTTTTATTGGTTTATCTTTAAGTTTGGAAAGTAACTTATTGTATTTAAGAGATTTTTATGAAAAGTATTATTTCACTAGGACGCTACTTGTGAAATTGGAACTGGTATTTCACCACTTCCTCATGTCTCTGAAAAAACAGAATACTGGAATATGGTTCCCGAAGAATATAGGCATTTTCATTTTAATGAGCTGCTTAACAACAAACTGGAGTTTGAGCATTTCCGTCAGTTTCTTGAGGCTCATTCTTCAAGGTGAGAAACAACCATTTTAAAATTTCTCTCTTAAAACAGTTTTCTAAGCTACTTATTTTTTCAGCTGCTTGTTTTGATTCAACATATGATAAAAATGGTTTGATGCTTGGTTTTACTCATTTCAGTAAAAATTAATGAGCATAGTTATCTGAAACCTGTATGGTTAACTTTTTGTTGGGAATTGTATTTTGATAATAGCAGCCTCCAGAATATTATTTTGAGTGGTCAAACAATATTTGTTGATACTTTTAGCGTTAGCTAAATTAAAACACCAGTATGTTTCATTTTTTCCTATTCTGATGTTTCTTTCTTTTGTGTTTTTCTAGACAAAAGTGCTCTGATGACTAGTTCTGAGGAGCTTCTCTTTTGTATTTCACTAAGCTATTAAAATTACTGTACTGTTTTGTGGCTTTTGTTAGTTAATACATAAATGAAGCATTGTAGTTCTGCATAGAATCTTATGACACATTTGTCTAATATAAAGTGAAGTATTCATCATATTTTTCTCCAATGATTTTCTCCCAAGTTAGGAAAAACTGGCTAGATCTGGGAGCCAAATTTCTCATACATAGTTTCCCTTTTTTGTGATGATAATTATTCTAAATTTAACATGTTGCCAAATAGATATGCAATATGTGGGAATGTTTCCATCTTTGAAATTGATAATACTAGTCCATCATCAATGGAAGAACTCTGAGACCCTACCAGTATGGTGGTAGAGTCTTTCCTGGTCCCAGTAGTCCTTGTATTCATATATATATTTAGCCAGGATGGGACACAGTATTGTACTCATTATTTCCATGGGCTAATCAGCTGTGTTAACTACTCAACAGAGCACTTTCTAAGTTCTGTCAGATCAACTACTTGTTTGGTGTTTAACAGAATTGAAAGAAAGAAATAAGATGGGCTGTACTTTGTTTTCATTTTAGCATGGACCTTATGTGCTGGACAGACATTGAACAGTTCCGAAGAATAACTTACAGAGATCGAAAGCAAAGGGAGGCAAAATCTATCTATATTAAAAACAAATACCTCAATAAAAAATATTTCTTTGGGCCCAACAGTCCAGCTTCTGTGTCTCAACAAGACCAGGTATCAACATGGAAGCATTTTTTCTACATTTCAAGTATGAAAACTAGTAATTTATTTCTTTTTGCTAACAACCTGAAAGTCATCTTTTTTCTTTTCCTTTTATGACTTATCAGTTAGATACTTCTGATATCTTTTTTTAGGTATTCATAATAATCTATAAATGTCTGCAATGTGGGAGATACTTTAATACTAAAGTATTATATATTATTAAAACTTTATTTATTAAGGTGATTTATTGAATAAAAATAACTTTCATTTATCTACTCACCCATTCATTCAGCAAATATGGGTGCCCGTGATATGCCAGACACTGTTCTAGGTGCCCAGGATAAATGGTAAACAAGGTGAACAAAGTCCTTGCATCTTTCAGTAGGCAGAAAAACAGCCATTAGTAGCTGTTAAGCCTCATCCCCACCTCTTTTCTGTTCTTCTCAAACTGAAATTGCTCAAAACATAATCAATCTTTGAAAAATCCTGTTTGCCATTTAATTGTCTTCCAAAACTATTTCTATTGACCAGGAACATAGATTTGCCATTTTGTTGAGCCAAAATCATAAGGCCTTAATCACAACTTATTAATAACTGTACAGTGTCATTATTTACAGTAAAAATGTTAGGTTGGGATTCAGCAGTGGGTTTGAGTATTCATGTAATTGATACATGAGATATGGCTCAATTTTAATGACTTTGAAATATAAAATTAAGTGTTATAATTTATTTAACTTCAAGTTTGCTAGTACTAGAAGTTTGCTAGATCAAATGTACAGCATTTGATTTCTTTATTTTCATAGTTTAAAACAATGCATACCATAATGCATTGTTCATAATTACGATCCTGGATTCCCAGGGATCCAACCCAGGTCTCCCGCATTGCAGGCAGATTCTTTACCAACTGAGCCACCAGGGAAGCCCAAGAATACTGGAGTGGATAGCCTATCGCTTCTCCAGCGGACCTTCCTGACCCAGGAATAACCCAGGGTCTCCTGCGTTGCAGGTGGATTCTTTACCAATCAGCTATCATGGAAGCCCTATATCATAATAGCATCAGTTCAGTTCAGTCGCTCAGTTGTGTCTGACGGTTTGCGACCCCACGGACTGTAGTACGCCAGTCTTCCCTGTCTATCACCAACTCCTGAAATTTACTCAAACTCATGTCCATTGAGTCGGTGATGCCATCCAACCATCTCATCCTCTGTCATCCCCTTTTCCTCATGCCTTCAATGTTTCCCAGCATCATGGTCTTTTCCCATGAGTCAGTTCTTCACATCAGGTGGCCAAAATATTGGACTATCAGCTTCAGCATCAGTCCTTCCAATGAATAATCAGGACTGATTTCCTTTAGGATTGACTGGTTGGATCTCCTTGCAGTCCAAGGGACTTTGAAGAGTCTTCTCCAACACCACAATTAAAAGCATCAATTCTTTGGTGCTCAGCTTTCTTTATAGTCCAACTCTCACATCCATACATGACTACTGGAAAAACCACAGCTTTGACTAGATGGACCTTTGTTGACAAAGTAATGTCTCTGCTTTTTAACATATTGTCTAGGTTGGTCATAACTTTTCTTCCAAGGAGTAAGCATTGCGTTGGTGGTATAGTGGTGAGCATAGCTGCCTTCCAAGGAGTAAGCATCTTTTAATATCATGGCTGCAGTCACCATCTGCAGTGATTTTGGAGCCCCCCAAAATAAAGTCAGCCACTGTTTCCACTGTTTCCCCATCTATTTGCCATGAAGTGATGGGACCAGATGCCATGATCTTAGTTTTCTGAATGTTGAGCTTTAAGCCAACTTTTTCACTCTCCTCTTTCACTTTCATCAAGAG